TTCCTGAATTTTTGCCACAACTTGGCAATGGCCACTTGTTTGGGGCAAAACCTTTCAAATCTTTCTCAAGGGTAAGACCATCTCTAAGTCAATCCTTTCTTGAAGCAGAGAGTCTCTTTTATTGAACAAAACTTCCCTGAGCATGCCAAGGTTAGAGTGCAGAGGTGACTCTGATAGGTCTTTGTCTTTGAGGAATTGTTTGTAAGACCCCAGGGGAAGACAGATTATACACATACAAGTGCAATTCGGAGGTCTAGACCCTAGGCTGGAAGTACTGAGCATGGAGCTGGGGCCAAGGGGAACCAAGGAGGAGCCATCAGTTCAACTAATAGCATCTGAGTCTGAAAGATGAGGAGATAGAAGTTGAATAGGGAGGCGGGGGCTGAAGGGGGTGGGTGGATGGAATTCTCAGCAGAAGGAATAGCCCAGAGTTGGAAGATGGCACTGCGTGCTCCAAAAATGTGTCAAGTGCCCTGTGTGAGATGTGGCCAGGGAGGTAGGCAGGGATCCTCAGAAAAGGCCTGAATTTCAGGCGAAGAAGCAGGGCCTTTGGCCCATATGCACTGGGAGAGGCATTGCACAGTGGAGCCAAGGTGAGGGAAGGAGAAGATCAGATGTACGTTTGGAAAGATCTTTCATACTTTTACTGGGGAGGCTGGGAAGACATTGAGGCAGAGCAGTTTAAAGACTGTTGTTGCCCAGCTGGTATAGCTCAGTTGTTGAGAGTCAGCCTATGAATCAAGAGGTTGCTGTTTCGATTCCAGCCAGGGAACATGCCCAGGTTGTGGGCTCAATCCCCAGTAGGGGGTATGCCGGAGGCAGCCAATCAATGTTTCTCTCTCTATCCTTCTCCCTTCCTCTTTCTCAAACATCAATAAAAACATATTTAAAAATTTGAAATGGCTGTTGTTATAGGCTAGAACTTTAAAAACATCCATCCAATTCTTTTATCTTACTGATGCACAGTCTGAGGCCCAAAAGTTAAAGTGACTTGCTCAAGGTCATCCAGCAAGATTAATGGCAAAGTCAAGGCTTCACCTGCCTCCCAGCACAGGCATTCTCTACTGCCCCAGTATCCTCAGGAAGAGAGGCGGCCCACTGAGATTTCCCTGTTGTCCTTTGCCTCTGAAACTGTCTTGTGCTCTGCCCCTACTGCAGACCAGCCCGCTAGGGCAGTGACAGGGAGATGTTCCCAGAGGACAAGGCAGGGAGCACTGCCCAGCTGCTTCTGAAGCTGGGCTGCTGCTGCTGCCTCTACACCAATCAGGGAGCTTTCCAGCCACAGGAGGAAGCCAGGAGCCAGGGGTGGGGCAGCGGTGGTTTATGACTGCACAGAAACAGCAGGACACTAATGTCTCTGACTAGCCTGCTTGTCTGCCTACTTAGCCAGAGAGGATGCTTCTAAAAGTCATGTCCTCCAACAATGGAGATGGGGTGGACCGTTAGTCATACAGAGTGCCTGCCAGTGCCCTTGTGTCAGGTCGGCCACCAGAGGGCAGAGCCCTTCCTTTCCTGAGCACATGCCAAGGGGTAGATCCTCATAGTCTGGGCGGAAAGGGTGTCCTGGCTAAGGGGAGCCCAGAAGATCTGCCTGGTTTTGAATTCAGTCTCCATCAGTCACTTGTGACTGGTCACACAGCAACTGTGTCTCAACTTTCTTGCCTAAAAAAAAAGGATGATTCTGCCATAGCCAGTTGCTCAGTGGTTAGAGCGTCGGTGCTCAGACTGAAGGGTCTTCGGTTTGATTCTGGTCAAGGGTCAAGGGCACATAACTCATTAGTAACTCATAATTTGGTTGCAGGCTTGATGGGGGCGGGGGGGCTTGGGTCAGGGTGCATTTGGGAGGCAACCAATCGATGTGTCTCTCCCTCTTCCTTCCACTCCCGTTAAAAATCACGGGGAAAAAAATATCCTCTGGTGAGGACTAACAACAACAACAAAAAAAACAAGGATGATTCTGAGCCTCTCAATCCTTGGAATTCGACCATCTCCCAGGTCCTTAGGTAGAGATCCCTTGTTTCCACAGCTAAAGAACACCAACAGTTTTCTCTTTCAGAAGAGAAACATGCTGAATCTAGAATTATGATTCATCACAGCTGGGTGGAGCACTTAGCTCTCATTTAGTTTAATTTCTCACTTCAGAGGAGGGTAAATTGAGACCCAGAGAGGGGGGACAGGCCTTGCACATTGAGTTGGAGGCCAGACAGAAGCCAGAATGCTAGTTCTCCAAATCCCTACTTCAGGTTTCTTTCAGCAGTACCAGGCCATGTAGGAGGAAGCCAGAATACTGTATTACGCCATTAAGCCATTATATCAATTAATATTAGTATAATGTCACCATGCCTCTGAAGCAGTGCTCTAAAAAGCCAAGGGCTTCTGGGCTGCTGCAGCTTTAAGCCTAGAGTCTTAAAAAAAAAATTAAAAGGGAAACGAAGGCAGGGCCAGATCTCCCCTGCACCATGGAGGGGAGTCTTGATGTGGAGATAGCAGATGGCATTACTGTGTGGCTTTGCAACATCCTTTCTTTGCATCTGCTTGACGTTTCCCAAACAGATTTGGCTTCAATTTTTCTTTCCTTTTTTTTTTTTTTTTTTTTTTTTAAGGCACATGGGACTGGTAGGGGAAGGAACTGAGGTGGAGAGGTAGGGGAAGCAGCCTGAAGTATGTCAGGAAGTTCCCAAGAATTAGCATTGACACATTTAATCCACGTATAGACAACCAGGGTTGGCTGAACGGGAACCTGTGGTGCCCAGGCCAGAATAGGTCAGGTCTGGCCTGCAGGCAGGAAGAGGAATGACTTGGCGAACAGTTTTATAAGAGACAGAAGGAAGTGGGAGGGTTCATTCACCAGCAGGATTGCATTTTGCTGGGTGGTGTATTAGGGAAGAGGGGCTGAATTCTGTGTCGGAGGAGGGGGAGAAGAGAGCATTCTAGATTTTCTCCTCACTCAGTCACATTCATTCCTTTCTTTAATATGTTCTATATATTTACTGTGCACCAGGCACTATGCTAAGAACCAAGGAGGTAATGATGAAGAAGACAAAACACAAATCTCATTTTCTGCCCTTGTAAAAATCTCTCACAGGTTTTCTGTTTCAGAATAAAGATTTCACTCCCTTGCCTGCCAGTCAGGGCTCCCCATGTTTTGGCTCCCGACTCCATCCCTAGCCCAACTATCCATCACTTTAGGCAACAAAAACTGGATTCTTTGTCTATCAATATATGTGTAAGGGAGGAACCTGCCTCTGAGTTTTTTTGTTGTTGTTGTTGTTGTTTTTTTTTTGCCTGTGCCCTCTGCGTGCTTTTAAATCCTATGTGTCCTTTAAGAGCTGAGTTGGAAATGTTACCAACCTCCTTGGAGAAGCTTTTTCAGAATCTATTCCTATCCAGCCCCAAATAATTTTTTTTTGGGTGGGGGGCAAAATAATAATAATAATAATAAAAAGTTAGGCCCTGGCTGGTGTGGCTCAGTTGATTGAGCATCTTCCCATGCACCAAAGGATCACCAGTTCAATTCCCGGTCAGGGCATACGCCCTGGTTTAGAATTTGATCCTGTGCAGGAGGCAATCAATCAATGTTTCTGTTACAAGGATGTTTCTCCCTCTCTCCCTTCCGCTCTTTCTGAAATCAATTTAAACACACACACACCATATTCCAAATTCCTGAGGGCAGGGTCCCATGACCTCTCCCACTAGCATCTAGCATAGAGCCTGGAATATTCCTTCAGAGAAACTCCTTCATTCTAGGTTCTCATACACACTTAACATCCCTTACTTTATATTTTTATTCCTTATCACTTTCTAACCTACTCTACATACAGGGGTGGGCAAATGTAGGTTTACAGTTTGAGTACATGAGTTTATTCTTGTATTATTAGTATTTTATTACCTATTTGTACAACTGTAGATATATTTTTGCCCACCCGTACTTATATCCTGCCTATTTTCTTGCATAGGGTGTTGTTATTGTTGTTTTTGTTGCTCACTGCTGTACCCCATTGCTTAGGGCAGTGCTGGAACACAGTAAGTGCTCAATATCTGCTGAATCAATGAAGTAAATAAAATGTGCAGTCAAAACTACGGACTGTATGAGCTACATGGAATGTCAAAAAGGGAAGCACATGAGCAAGAATGTGTCAGCTTGACCTCAGTGTGTATGCCCTAGGTGGAGAGGATTGGTTAACTCCAGACACAACCCAGTGATAAGCAGACAGGAGGTTCTCACTAACAGAATCTGTAACACTCCATCCTGGAGAGGAAGGAGGGCTTCCCAGGGGTCAGCCGGCAGACAGCTGCATCCTTTCTATAAATTAACCAGTATGCCTGGCCAATATTTATCCTTTCATGTTTTCACCTCATCAGATCCAAAAACCTCAAGGTGAGTTGGGGAACTGGAATCTTGTGAGGGAGGGTAACAGTTTAGCTCCTTAATTCACCTACCCCAGGGGAGGGCATTACCTTGACAGTTTGGATCTACAGTAGACGAGCCCCTCACCGGTGAACCACCTTGGCCAGCTACTTGACCTCGGAGACCAGGCCCAGGGCTGAGGCCCTGGCCCTTCACCTTTGTAATTTCCTGGAGAATATGGGGCGGGGCCGTGAATCAGCACTAGCTCGGGCTGAAGCAGCCTTCGTCCCCACCAGGGGTCCCCAGCGGCCGCGGAATTACAGCCCATCCTCTCCCTGCGGTAGCGCGCTATGACCACTGGGAGATGTAGTGTTGACCGCCCCTTTGTCCTTGATCTCTCCAATGTATCACCTCGCCGATGGATGAACTACAACTCCCAGGGGCCCAGGCGCCGGGGGCCTGGTAGGGCGAGGGCCTGAGCGGGGAGGCGGGGAGGCATCTGGAGAAGCTGGGGCGCTGGAACCGGGATGCAGTGAAGAACCGCGGGTGTTGAGAGGCAGAGAGGAAGGAAGGGACACCCTAAAGGCGGCGGCGAGCTGATTTAGGGAGGGGAAGCCCGAGAAGCGGAAGAGCTGGGGCGGAGCCTGGCGGCGTGCGTGTGGCACGCACTGCAGTCGCAGCCGCTTCACGCCCGTTCCCGCGGTTGCAACTCGAGCTGCAGCCTTCGCGCCGCCTTCATCCCCTCAGTCACCCGCTGCGTGGTCGGCCCCTCCGGCACACGGCTCCAGCCGCGCCGCAGCCGCCTTCTGAGCCCTCAGGCCTCCCCGGTTTTCTCGCCCGGCCCGACCCAGCCCGCGAAGATGGTGGATCGCGAGCAACTGGTGCAGAAAGCCCGGCTGGCCGAGCAGGCGGAGCGCTACGACGACATGGCCGCGGCCATGAAGAACGTGAGTTCCTCCTCCCCTCCCCCGCATCGCCCCAACCCCTTCGCAGACGCGTGGACGACCCGTGGATTAGTCGCCTGTGGCGACTGCAGGGCCTTCTCGCTCGCTAAGCGGACAGGGGAGGGTCCCGATAGCGAATGTGGGGACCCGGATTGTGACGCGGCCTCTCCCGGAGCGTCCCCCAGGCCCGATGGCGCGGCCTTCTAGACCCTCCCCGGGCTAGGGCGGGGTTTGCGGGGCTGATCTCTGAAGTGGGGTCTCTGCCCCCCGCGTCTCCGGGGCTGCTGGGGGCCCCAGCGGGGGTCTTGCGCATCCTTTGTGCCCCACTTCCCCTCCTCCCAGCCTTGGCGTGGGGGCGGGGGACCGCATGGATGCGGTTCCTCTTTCTCTCCCTGGTGTCTGGGCGGCGCCTCTCGCGTTCACTCGGCTCGGCTCCGGGTTTCTTAACATCTTCCCCTCTTCATCCCCCGCCCCTCCCCGTCCTCCCGCTGCCCCTCCCGACAGATCCCGTAGAACCTCCCTAAGGAAAATGTAGGCTTCCCCGAAAACCCGGGCTCAGTGGTGCAGAATCGAAACCTTCCCCACGTTTTTCTTAACAAAAGCATCCTCTCCATTTCCCAAAGCAAAGTCCTCGTGCTGTTAGGAAGGGGGGCACAATTGTTCTCGACATGTCATCTCCATTTTTTTCCTAATGTTTTGTATTGAAAACGGTAGGTATTGTCTTTAAAATAAAGGTTGTGAATTTATCTGACTGGTTCAATTTGTGACATATACTGTTTGTTTTTTAAATACAGGCACACATCTGTTGAAATTCCTATTAAGTTGAAAAAAAATATTCTCTCTAACCTGTTATTGCAAACAAAGCGGTGGTGGGAGGCAGTATCAAGTCATTCCAGAAGATTCTGCATTTGTCATATTGCAGAGAGCCTAGACTGGGTGGAGGCTGGGAGGAGTTATTTTAAATGGGAAAAAGTGTTTTTAAAAATTTTTTTGTTTTGTTAGATACATCTAAGGCTTAAGCAGAGAACACACAAGCTAGCACATCTTCATGCTAGTGAAAAGGGAATACTGATCTCCAGTTGTCTGCAGATTCCTGCCTGTATTGCACCATTTTGTCAGTAACACTACGTTTATCTAATGGGCTGTCAACGAATTTGATATTAGAGGAGGGGGAAGGTATTGAGCATTATTAAATGAAACATGGAAAATTAACCCAATTAACGATTTAGGTCTCCCAATATCTTAATATTTAACTTCCTACCTTATGTAACAAAGATTTTAAAAATGCATCTTTAGTGTGAAGTGGATTTAGATGTGTAGCATGCATGTTAAAATCTTTTTAACAAAGCAGTATAGGTATTACAGATTACTACATAACTACGAATTCACAAAAGATAAGCTGATGCCTTTATATTTAAGTCAGCTACATGAACAAAATTTTATTTCATTAAGCAAGACAATTGGTTCTGAAAGTGGGAGGACCAATGAATTAATATATTGCCACAGTTGCTATCCTAAAACATTTTAAAGCTCAAATGACAAAAGTTGCATTTTTAATAGTTATAAATATTGGAAATATATTGTTATTTAGACTCTTCTAATTTTTCCGTACTTCTAGTTTCACAGAAAAGCGAGTGACCTCCCACCTATAGCCAAAGCAACCCAGTGATGTCACACAATGACACAGAGGCTGCAATGCACCTAAGGGCTGGTAGGGAGTATGCAAATGGCATTTGTCCAAGGTAATGCAGAAATTAGCAGATAAGCCAGGTGGAATTGAACACTTCATCTTCCTGCAGATGAGGATTAGTGCAAAAAATAATTTTATTTACCCTTACACATGCAGGTCAGCGACCTCTAGATAGGCCTATTCGTTTTCCTATTTCTAGTTTTCTCATAAGAGTGTATAAGACATTTGTATTTTTAAATATTCATCTCACCATTAAAATGGGACAGTGATGGAATAAAGAAAGAAATTTTAAACAATATATTTTATGATCATAGTACAGGAATGGGCTGTATACTTGGGTTTATTGCCTGTTATTAACTTGGCAGGTTTAAAAACCTTAACAAAATATGACTTCCTACTCAGTCATTTTCAGTAAATGTTAGGGAATATTACGTTACAAGACACTCGGTTGGGATTGGAAAAGTTTTCTTTTGCTATATTTATTCTTCTGCTCCTTGATGGAGTTGGAGGAAAAAACACTGTCAAATAAAGCAGACCTCTTTTCAGACCTGTTTACTGTGACTTTGATGAAGTAAGTTTACCTTGAACCTCATTTTCCTCATCTGTAAAATGGGTCAATACCTACTTGAAAAAGTTGTAAGGATTAAAGGCAGTAGGTGCTCAAAATGGAAACTATTTATAAAACTTTGTGGTTTTGGGTGTGTTTGTTTTTTAATAAAAGTCATCTCATGGGGAATTTGGAAAGTACTGGAAGATAAAAAGAAAATACTCAGTCCTACATGTTAGAGGGATTTATTTGCATTTAATGAAATTATTCTAGTAATAGCACTGTTGGGATCTGTGCAGAGTGGTAGTTGTATGTGGATAACCAGGCTAGAAATAATACGCAGTATTTTGGAAAGGAAGAAAAAGGGAAATTTAGTCTTCTAAGACAAATGTGCAGTCTTGCATTTAAGAAGACAATGAACACCTAAATGTGTCCTGCTGATAAGACAGTGATGTCTTGTCCTTTGGATTTTAATGGCTGGGAAGTTAATGTTCTAAGTAGGCTACTAGTATTTGCCTGGGGTGGGTGTAGAGAAAAAGGTTCTGGGCTAATTTTAAGTCACTGGGTTAAGCAGTTTAACTCCTGTGTGTGGGTGGGGCATTGGTGACAAGAGGCTACCTTAGTTATATTTTTAAGTCTTCCTAGTAGAATTGACAGACTTTAAAATTCTTGCTATCTGAAATACTGTTTTTCCTATTAGCCCTTCCAGGAGGCTAGATCAATAGCCATTATCTCTAATGGAGTAATGACACCTCTGTGGACTCTTCAGAGGTGGAGTTCTGCCAGCCATTATTCTGAGTCATGTGGTTTCAATTGTTCTCTTCTTGGGAGTGGAAAGAATACAGATAACAGTTTGCTTTTTATGTGTTATCCTTCCCAATAACTGAAATGAATGTTAACTGCTTTTTGTAATTATTTAAAAATTATATTGAGATAATGATGTTGCTAAATGTACATCTTCATTAATCTTTTGGATTAACTGCTGGGCCTGGGGAGGATTTTATCCCTTAATACTTACTTATTTATTACACCAATCTCTAAATTATTAAAAAAAAAAGTGGAGAAAATGACCTTGCCTTTTTAAAAAATTCTTTATTGTTTAAAGTATTACAAATGTCTCCTTTTTCCCCCATCGACCTTGCTTTTATTGAGATAAAAGTTACATAACAAACTAATCATTTTCTTTTCAAATTTTCTTATTCATTGCTTTTTTAGAGAGAGGGGAAACCAGGGGTGAGTGGGGGGCTCTAACTAACTGAACTGTCTTGCCAGGGCACAAATTAACCATTTTCAAGTGTACAATTCAGTAGCATTTAGTATATTCACAATGTTGTATAACCATCATCTCTAGTTGAAAAAAATGCGAAAATTTTATCTTTAAAAGTGATGATGGTCTGGCTGTCGCTGGCTGCATTTCGAAACATGACTGGTTCAGGAATGTGTCAGTAATGAAGTACAACAGCAAAGCCAGTGGTAATCAATATCCCTTTGTCTTTGTTTTCTAACTTCTGAACCTTTTCAGCATAAATTTTAAAAAAATTACAGAGCTTAAAAACTTACCCAAATAAATAAGAAAATTTTACCTGAAATCAGAGTAAACTATTAACTTTGGAGATCATAGAAATTTTGCTGGTGGTGTTATGTCTCCTTTTCCACCCCAAGGCTGACTTTGTTACAGATGATTTCCCTGTTGTGTGGTAGCAGCCCTCTAATGAACCTATGCATTACTGAGAGTGTGAGCTATTCAAACATGGGATTCTTACCTGATGGGATTCCCATAAATAAGATGTTAAATGCAGTGGCTAGATGATTCTAAACCTGCCAGAAGCTTCTTCTCATCCCCATGTCACTAGCCCTAACCCTTTTATTTGGCAGGGCATTTTTCTGTATTTCTACCAGATTTCAAGGGATGTGAAAGAAAAGCAAAGACTACTTTATACCTTTAATAGTCAAGGGTGGGGGGAGGGGAAATTACCACTATATAAACCACTATCTTTTGTCTTATTTTGTAAACTCTTTTTTTATTTTAATGTTACGAATTTATGAATTTGAATAGTTAAGTAAAGTTACATGAAAAGTAATCAACAAAAATTCCCAAAAGAAAACTTTAATTTTTAAGATAAATGGTTAAATAACTGGTCTGGTCCCATGAATTTGCAGAAACAATAAAAATTGTAAATCTTAAAGAGTTTGCATGAGTTTTTCTTCCTTCCTTTTGAAAGAACTGCTCAGCAGGTGTGGCTCAGTTGGTTGAACATCATCCCATGCACGAAGAGGTTGCCAGTTCTATTCCAGTCAGGGCACATGCCCGGGTTTGGGGCTTGATCTCCGGTAGGGGGCATATATTAGGCAGCTTATCCATGTTTCTATCTCTTTCCTCTCCCCTCTCTCTAAAATCAATAAATATATCTTTTTTTAAAAAATAAATGAACTGCTTAAGTCTAAACTAAATTTTCATCAGCATTTCACTTGTAAGGATGTGTCCCAAAGCGGTAGCCTTTTCTTTACCTTGAGTTGAATACTCTTAATGTGCCACAAAGCTTTAGTTGGGTTGTGAACAGGTAAATAGAAATGAGTGTTCTTACATAGATTTTATTTTTTATTTTTTAATAAATCTTTATTGAAAGTATTACATATGTCCCTTTTTTTCCCATTGCCCTCTCCTATCCCCTTCCCCCCAAGCCTTCACCACCCTATTGTCTGTGATTATGGGTTATGCATATACTCATGAATTCATTGGTTGGTTCCCCCCCCTCCCCCATTACA